AAAACCGCATATCAGCAAATTGCAAAACCGCGCATGTGAGGTTGTATAAATTATTTTCTAGAGAGTAAAATCGCTAATATTTCAAAATGGTTATCTTCTTTTGTATAAAGCAATCGCATTTCTGGCTAGTATATTTTAGGAGGTATGGATAATAAGGCTTGAGCCAAGAGCTTGTGTGGGAAAATAAAATTTTTGGCAAAAAATGTCAGTTATGCGGTTTTGTACTTTAAACGACGATATGTACCAATGTACCAGTGTACCTTCAAACCGGTACTAAAAGTTGAAGTGCAGATATATTCACTGAGGTTAGCATTGAGCACAAAAGTGAATCCCATGGTAACACCAGCGCCTGAAAGAAAGTTGGTTTTTCACTTTAAGAGTATTAAAAAAACATTTGCTATCCTCCTTAAACCCTACCAGCTGGTCTTCGCGGATAGTAGTACAATGGCAACTGTTCAGCGTAGCCAGTCTCCAAGTTCCAGTCGACTGGTATGGTGCCAACAGACGAGGTGAAGTCTCTCACGAAAATGTATCTATTAAAATCAAAACCAAACAATCGTTATTAACAAACCCCTTTTACCCCCTTTTATAGAATACTTAACTTACTTTCCTTTGTATAAATAGGATGGATGTAAAATATTAAAGGAACAACAAATGCCCTCATCCATTAGCACCTCTCTGAAGAAATCAGTACAGCGGTCTTCTTTGTTCCCAAAGCGACAGTAAACAATCATATTGTTACAAGTCTGTCCATTCTGTTGGAAAAAATTCAAAAAAAAAAAATCCTAAATGCAAAATTCTTTCCACCAAATATTTAACTTCACCACGCGCCAGATGAAATTCGTGAACGTGTCTTCCTTTGAGGCAGGTTTCAGATCATCGAATTGGCTATAGTCGACATCTTGCAAACATATCTTCTGTGTCATTGCATAGCCCCGTGAATGGCTGCGTTGTTAAACACAAAAAAAAAATTGCAAAATAGTTATGTACGTATCTAACGAAACTCAAAATTTTTCACGAACTTGCTACTCACCGCGGATAGTTTTCGATTTTGCTACGCAATGCCTGATTCATATTGCAGATTGTGATGGCTGGAAAGGGGGTATCGCGTATAGTCGACGTTTGCGCCTCGATGCCTATAATGATCGGTGTTGTTTCCCAACGCGTAAAAACATTCGTGGCAAAATTTACTGCCAAAGTAATGACCGCAACAAACCACAGCAGAAAGTAGGTTCTGTGCGAAGTTAACGAAAATGAAATCGAATCTGATAATTGGTTAATGCTAACGTAAAATTTACCTCTCCCATAAGGACAAGCTTGCANTTTTTTTTTTTTATATTAATGAGTTCTTTGGCATTTTCCAATATTTTATAGGTATTTGTTTGGACTAAATTTTCAACATTTTTTCCAAATATTGTGTAATTTTTTCGGACTTTTTCCAAAATTACGAGTTTTTCGTTATTTTTCAAAATTTTCTTGCGATTTTTCCGAGACTGTTCAGAATATTTTGGGAGTTTTCAGGCTCACTCGTATTTAACTTTTCAGCATTTTTTGAGAACCTGTGGAGTTTTCCGTACCTACTCTTTTGGGTTATTTCGGGATTTAAAAGTTTTTCGGTATTATTTTTTGGGACCGCTCAAGACGTTTCCGGAATTCTTGGCCTCTTAGTTTTTCTGATATTTTCGATATTTTTCGAACACTTTTATAATTTATACTGGACTTTTTCGGGATTTAAATACGGTTTTTTTTTATACTTTGCAATATTAGTTCGTGATTTTCGTGAATATTTTCGGGGTTCTTTGAGTTTTACTCATCAGAATTTTTTGGGCCTACATTTCCATATGAGTTTTCCGACCTGATTTCTCAACATTGTAGGTGAGATCACGCCCTTAATTGTGCCCATTGTGGAACTTACGCCGGCTAACTCATCTGCCATATTTCAAGGTACGAGTATATTACTTATCTCCCTCTCTCTCTCTCTTTCTCTCTCTCTCTCTCTTTCTCTCTTTCTCTCTATCAACAGCAATTTGATATGTTGAAACGAAAGGGCGTTCCGTCGATGGCTGGTTGAGCTCTTAGCGCAAAATATTTTTATGTATATTTTTGAGGAAGACCATTTTCAAAGGAACAAGCTTCGAAAGCCCCCTTTGAATCTTTTGCTAAAATGTCATTATTTTCAACTTTCGTGCTCTCCAGTTTGTTAGAGTCTAAGGTATTGCTCTATATAAGAATGTGGAGTAAAACTTTGATTTACTGAAAGTTTACATGCACCAAACTTGTAGAAGAAAGCAAAATATTTTCTTAGTTTTAAATCACTTGCACATGTTGTGTAGGCCAAATATTAAACAAATATTTTTTTCATAAGGCATATTTTAAATATTTATTTGTCAAAGTCTGAAGAATTTTATTAAGTATCTGATAAAAATTTCTATACTTATTTGTATGTATGTATGTATGTTTGTACACATACATATGTATGTAAATATTTGCTTGAAAGGGGTTTTCAAATATCTTTCTAAAACAAAATGCACTAAAACAAAACTTACAGCAATGCTGAATTTTTGCCCGCATGCGATTTTATTCAATTACATTTACGTAAGTACTAAAATCAAATATTGAGTGCTCAACTTAGTTACGCGCATATTTCAAACCATTAGAGTTTGAATGATTCTGCGAGGTTATAAAAACAAAGTCTACTTTCTAGGAGAAAAAAATTGCTTGCCATTTTAATTAGATTTGGTAAATTTATGGAGGGTATTAGAATTTCGGAATATTTTCATTTAATTACACATTTTTCAAATTTCAATACTTATTAACTTTTCGATGAATTAAATATTAAACTACGTTTTCAATCGAATATCACATTATATTAATTTAAGAAAATTTGCAAGTTTTATTGCTCGTGTTAACTAACTTTGATAAAGAAGCATAAAATTTTAATTTATACTTTTAAACCTTTTTCATATGAACATTTTATCTTCGTTAAGCGTTGATTTTTAGTTCGATTACTTTTTAGCTTTTGTGTAAGTCTTCTTTTCTTCTAACTAACCTTAAAACTAGAAATAAAATCGAGTTGCTCAAAGCTCATATTTCTTACTTCGCCAAAAAAAACTATCTAGAAACCCATAACATCTCCCTCTTTCGATAGTCGCATTTCCGTAAATTTTCCGCCGACACGTTCAATACCACAAACAGCAGATCCACGCTCCCTATACCGCTTGGTCTATGCCCCTTCGCCTCCAAAGCATTAATAACATCCTGCAATATGCCATATTCTACTCGAGTATATTTGGTTCCAATTGGTGATGAAAGCGCGGTGCATCAATAGCCTGTTTAATATTCTGCTCCAACCAAAGTATTCGCACCAAGATATGCACCAGGACGGAGATAATTTTTGTGCCGCCAGCAGCGCCAGTCACCAAACGCACCTCGCCGCTCTGATCGGTTACAATAATGGGACTCATGGAAGACATGGGGAGGCGCCGGGTTTAATGCGATTCTTCTGCGGCATATTGGGCAGATCAAAGTAATTTTGTAAACCGTCATGGCGAAATCGACATTGCGTTATTGAAAAGTATGCCGAGCGCGCGCCGATTTTGCCGCTGCCAAAACTGAAGACAAAAGTAGCTTACACATTTCCAAAAAATCAAGGAAGTCTATAAGCCACTTACTAAAAGTTAATCGAGCTCGTTGCGGCTACGCATCACCGTTTGGCGCCAACACCGATATATGCGCTGTGCCATACTCCGTGCGCGTCACCAAGTGCTCGCTGGCGCCATAGCTTGTAGCATCCCGGAAAGTACGCGCCTCATCAATTAGATAAGCCAGTTGGCGCGCAAAGGTCGCATTTGTGAGATTGAATAATTCCTTAAGCGTTAAAAAGAGAAAGCAAAATATTAAAATTTATTTGAAGACAGTATAAACGTAGACCGCAATGCACCTCTTCCGGCGCCTCTACATCCAGCTTCCAACGTTCGACGAACCCAAATTTGAGCGCCTCGACATGCGATGCAGCCCATTGGCATCGAGATTGCCTACGGTAGCGAACTTCATACGAAATTTTTCCAAAATTTTCATCACAAATCCAACCACATAGCCGCTGCCAGGTGGTGGTGTGAAGTGCAATGTGTATGGACCCAAAGTTACATTGGGTGAAAAAACTAAGTCGGCTGTCAAATTTTGCATGTCCAACTCACTGATGGGACTGCCGAATTCGCGCAAGTCACCTACAACTTTCTCCATCAAATCGCCATGGTAAAAGTCTGCTGGTCCATCGCGTGCCAACGCTTCGTATGTGCGACAGAGCACGTCCGGTGGCCTTACATGCGCGCCCGTTCTAAACACTTGGCCAGTTTTTGGATCTACAAACATTTTGCGCAGCACAGCATTCTCTTTGAGCAGCTTGCCATTTATATATACCGAATCGCGTTGGTGTTTGGTCAGTATATAACCGTTCGACACAATTTTGTGGTCGGTTCCACCAGTTGCCGCCAAGGCAGCTTGCCGAAATGTTGATGCGCCACCGCATAGCCGGCAATCTCAGCGGGCACGCAATACCCAAAGCCGATTGAAAGATGGTGCTTACATTCGTCGCAGGCAACTGGAAATGATGTGGCGCTCGCTCTCTGCTCAATATGCTATAGGCACGTTGCTCACTACCGGAATAGATGTTTATAAGTACACCGCCGCCAGCCCCATGCTTTGCATGGCCAGCAGTCCGTTGCAGAAGAGGAGGCAATGGCTGCATCGACGGCGCTACCTGCCGACTTCTGCATTATATCCCTGAGGGAAGCAAAATTATTTACCAGTTGAGAATTCCACGACAACAAAAAAGGCTACAAGTTGCATGCGAGTATATGTGTGGGTAATTACCTGCCGATTCTGCTGCAAACATCGCTGTCGGAACACACCGCACCGTTTTCATATTCGTATAGCGGTGAAAACGAAGGAGGCTGCGGCGTTTCCGGATTGGGTGGCCGCAATGCCTGAATGTTTTGCAAGAAGAACTTCTTTGTTTGGAGAGTTTGTAGAAAAGAAATACTACAGCGCTGAGAATGATAACAATTCCGTGCATTAAATTCATCACTAAAACGTGATTTATAATTTCATAAAATTATTTTTTTTGAGCAATAAATTGGAGAATATTTTTTCACATTGTTTATGTTGGCACACGATTCAATAAAGTGGGAAACGTCAAATAAGGAAGAAAATATCCTTTGAGTTGTGACATGCGCATTGTGAAAGGACTCTTTGACAAAGGAAAATACTGGATATGCCGGCAGCTGACAAAAGAGTCGGAAATAGCGTCAAAGGAAAATTCGTATTGAGCTTTCTTGAAAGGTAATGCATTCTTGGGACTGAACTGTACATAAAAGCGAAGAGTAGTGCGTTGCGAAACCTGTCATCTTCCTTACTTAAAGTAATAAAAATGTAGGCCCTTTCTGCCTTTGCAGACAACTCCTTGAATTTTGTAGAAAGAACAGCATCCATATCGGCGGCTGAGTGGAAGAGCGACCTATTCTATAAAAGAGCTCCCTAATTCACAATTCGGTTGAAGAACGCGCAATCTCAGCAAATGTTTCAAAACGCCCTATATCAGTTCCGATATATGAATTTACATAGAGATAGTGCGTTCTTAAAAATTTCAGGATAGGACGTATTCGAACCGGCTGCCGAGATAGGTCGATCAAGCGTCGATATGGCCCTTGTAATGAATTCCTTCGAAATATAGCAGCGTGCCGACCCTTAAATAAATCAAAAATACAGATTAAACAAAAAAAAATTAAAAACTTTTAGTGCCTACATTCTTTAACATAAATATAGGACATAACAATTTTACGACACATCCGATGGTAGATGGTTTTTTGTGATAACGTTTATAGGAGAACTACAATCGCTATTCCTCTCATTTTGAAGTTATCTGAGCGACATAAAATCTGGGTGCTACTGAAAGTTAGTGCGAACGCTAACAACCAACGTCAATGTATCTATGCCGTTCAATTAAAATGGCCTAACTAAAAGTTTAATGAATGAAGAAAAATCGTAATTTTTGGACCTTCTTCTTCTTCTTCTTCTTCTTATTTGACATACAAAAAAGCTTCTCCTTGGAAAGGAAAAACGAGCCAACTTTTTCATTCCAAGCTTCGATTCAATTAATCAATTAAAATCAAGTCCTTAGAAAAAAACTTTAAGGGGCAACAAAAGTTTAGAAAGACTTCCATAGTCTCATTTCCGATCAGCTGATTCGAAAAACAATGACTACTTACCAATAAGTTAATCTTAAAATGCGTCCGCCATATTTAAAAATCTGTTTCGCTTGTATTTTAATTTTTTTATATTTTAAAGCTTTTCGTCAGTTTGATATTTCAAAAATGTTTTGAATAAAAACGCACTTTATTAGTGGTTTAAGCAAATACTTTTTCAGTACCAATTAAATACTCATAGTTGCGTGAAACAATTATTTGATTGATTTGAGATGGAATTCAGCAAAAATTACAGTATTGTGTATACAGTTGTATCTACATATATTTTATGCAAAATAGATTGGTATGTATTTAGGTATGTATGCACATGATATGAAATAACTCTAAGAATAATACTTAAAAAATTACAAATTACAAAATACAAATATAAGTAGAATACTACAATTTACAAGTTGTCGTCAAAAAATGTACAAAAATGAGTTTTCAGTTGTCCACGGTTGGACTTTCTGCTTTCTACAGAGAATCACTGGATGCATGCATACAATTAATATGCAAATACTATTTAGTTTACAGCTTAAAAATTCTTTTTTTTTGCATTATTTCGAATAATATATGTATTAGGGTGGTCCTTAAAACTGTCAACATCTAAATTTTCTATGGGTATTTTTTTTCTACTTACAAAATTAAGGAATACACGAAAATTTCAAATTTCAAAACAAATTTTAGGGGTTTGAAAAAATTAAAATTTATTTAAATCGCAAAAATTTTATGAAATTTTACTGGCTCAATTCAGCAAGTTTGGGTACGATCAAAACCGGTTTTATGTATGTACATACATAACGCGTTTGACGCGTATTTTCCCTTCCAACTATTATATCCTACTACAGAACACAGAAAAAAATTTTATATTTTAACCGACTTCACAAAGGGAGAAAGGTTTAAATACGATCATCGGACCATGAAGAAATCAACGATAATCTTAAATTTTTACATGAATATTGAGTCGGTTTTGTTTTTTGCTTAAAAATTACTTGTAAAATTTTAAAATTTTTAATATTATTATTTTTTTTTTAATTTTGAAAAAATCGTGGATGTCTTTATTTTGTAATAAAATAAACTAAAAGGATGCCCATACAAAATATAGAGTTGATATTTTAAGGACCACCCTAATAAGTGTGTACATAATTGCATACATATGTAGGAAAAGCATTATTTTCTTCTTCTCATTGACTTTGTGGTAGATAATAAATAATCTCGCAATGTTTTTTGTTTTTTTTTTTGGACTTAGCGCACACTTATTTATGTATTTATGTATACATATGTACTACATATTGAATACATACATACTTTTGTAAAAAATTTGAGAATTGATTGTTGTGCTTTTAAAACCAGCTACCCGCCACGTTTTCTAAAGTCCGCATTCGCATATATCGCCGTATCGTTTCTCGCAATGGCGCACACCACTGAGCCAATTCCTTGTAGGGTTGCAACTCGTGTCCTTTCGCCTTCAGCAGCTGCAATACTTCCTGGAATCGAAACAACTTGTTTATAATTTTCAATACATTTTTCTAAGATTTATGTGATTCACTTACCTCACTAAATTGACCAAATTCGTATTGCAAAACATTTGGTAAGAGTTGATGATGAATACGTGGCGCATCAATGGCCGACTTGATGTCCTGCCCGAACCATAGGAAGCGCGCCGCCACCTCAACAACAGCTGATATGATTTTCGAACCACCGCAGCGCCCAAAACCAAACGCACATTACCTTTCTGATCGGTCAAAATCATTGGTGACATCGACGACATGGGTCGCTTGCGTGCGTCAATAAAATTGGTAGGTGCCGCTGGTAGACCGTAGTGATTAGTAGTACCAGCGACAGAGAAATCATTCATGGCGCTATTAAATACGATACCGGTACGACGTCCAGCCTGACTGGCACCAAAACTACGAAAAAATTGAAATCATTTGAAATTGCAGAAGAGGTGTTGCATTGTACTCACTATTCGTTAACGGAGCTCGTCACAGAAACCGCATCGCCATCGGGCGCCAGAACGACTACATGGGATGTGCCTGCATCGTCTTCGCCCATAAATTGGCTCCATAATCAAAGATTTCCTTATGCACTTTATTATCGTTGATCTTCTCGCGTATGCTCATGCTGTACTCGGGGTTGGTAAGTCTGCTGACGAGCTGTTAAAGATAACACAGAGAGTGAGTTGTTTGGTATTCAAATATGTGCACTCTGCAACGTGAACTCACCTCACGCACATCGTTGAAGCGCAAATCACCCAATTCCCAGCGCTTTGCAAAGCCAAACTTAAGCGCTTCCGCTATGCGATGCAGCGTATTAGCCACGTTCTGCGCACCGATCAAATCGGCTTTGGTGAAATTGAAACCTTCCAAAATGCTGAGTATATTGGCCACAACAGTGCCACTACTAACAGGCGGCACGGCATAGAGTATATCGTCGCCCAATTGCATGGTGATCGAACTGACCATATCAGCGGAGTAGGATTCCAAGTCATATGCTGTTATTTTGCTACCAAGATCCTTTAGGTCCTCCACCACCATATGCGCCAGCGTACCATTGTAGAAGTCGAGTGGCCCATTTGCCGCTAAGAGCTCATAAGTTTCGCAAAGCACTTTTTGTGGCTTAATTTTCGTGCCGACCGGGTACAGTTGACCAGTTGTGGCATTAACGAAAACATCGCTGTGGAATAAGCAAAAAAACGTTAAGCGAATTTTTCCATATGCTGGATAGCTGCTTACTTACGTCAACACGGTGTTGTTCTTCATATGATGCCAGCGATAATTCAATGCACTCCATTGGTGATGTGTCAAAAAGAAGCCTTCGTGACACAATTTAATTGCCGGTTCGACGAGTGTCTTCCAGGGTAATTTGCCAAAACGTTCGTGCGCGCGATGATAACCCATCAGTTCGCCCGGCACGGCAATCGAAAGTCCACCATTAAGTGATAGTTCCAGTTTGCCATCGAACATTTCTTGGAATGCTTCGAACGGTGCGACCTCACGTGCGTCAATGGAATAGGCATGTTTACTGTCCTTAAGGTAGATATTCATAAGCATGCCTCCACCAATACCCATGCTATGCATGGTTAGGATACCATTACACAGGAGAGTGGCGATGGCGGCGTCAACAGCACTACCCTTCTGGTCCAGCATGTGACTGTGGAACAGAAAGAAAGAAATGAAGAGTTTTAGGGAGAGGAAAAATAAACAAGTAATTTTTAGCAAAAAAAAAAACCGACTTCAACTCTCGTATAAAAAAAAATATATATATATATCCCATGATCCGCTGATCGGATCTTAACCAGATTAGTATGGGACCACCTCTGAGACACTACCTTTCCGATGCAAAAAGAGTTATCGAAAGAAAAATCGGTTGACGTGGTCCAAAGTTATGCGGTAACATACATAAAAAAAAGAAAAAAATAAAATAAATATTCCGACGAACTGATAACCTCCTCCTTTTTTGGAAGTCGGTTAATTAAATATAGACAGCCTATACTTGTGCAACTGATAAATTAAGTTTGTTCAATGGAATTCAGTTATAGCGAGTTAAATATAATAATAAAGGATGTCCTTTGGAGGGTGTGCTTTCTCATTTTCTTGACTCCCTATTATTTCTTCAAAAGTAAAGTATGTGAAAGTCAAGCGAAGCCAAGCTTTCATTGAAATCTCACGTGGGGCATAAGACCTCGAAAGCCTTGGCAGAAATTTGGCAATATAAACGGGCCTTTGCAACAACATTAGGTGTGTCAGTAATACTCTAAATCTATTACTCTATTATTCGATCTATTCTCAGTTATATGTGACCTGGTCTAGGAAAAGGGAGCTTACGTGCGAAAACTAGTTTTCTGTGAAAAAGCTGTTAAAAGTAAGCAACTCGTTTCGTCAGTTTCTCATTATCTCGTTAATTGTTCTCCGCGCCGGACGTCCAGTAAGTGTTGTTGTTGGTCCAGTAAGTGTTGTTGTTGGTCGGAATATTATTATAGTTCATCGTGTAAGTTGCTAGTGTGGAACATTTAAAAAAGTAACACTGAAGAAGTGACGTTTACTGTTTCTGTTGATTATCGTCTTCGCATTTCGCATGAAATGAAACATGAGTGTTGATGAGGAGTTCAGTGCCGTATACGGACAATATTTCCATGAAAAGGATGATGAAAACGATGATGAAAACTATGAAGAGAGCGATGATGATGAAGACGAAGTATGTGTATCTCAGGCAGAAGATGATACCGAACAAACTTTTGTTAAGATGGACCTGTATGTTGTTGATGTAAAGGAGGAGGAGCTGGTAACAAAATTTCTGTCAAAAGATTGTTGTAATAATGAATGCCATACATTGATACCACGGGAAATGATCGAGAGTACGCGGAACAATTGTTTAGAGATGTCGAAAAATGAACTTGATTTAGTGATATTTTTACTCTTCTTTCTCTACATTTTTAGTACACTTCTAAGCAAGTTAGAATTTTCTGCTTTTCACCACATGAAAAAGCATCTCATCTTCCATCCGAATCAACCAAAAAGTGAAAATTTATTTTTTGACACCTAAGCCCCCTTTCCGTAGACCAGGTCACATATGTATTTACGCCTGCCACACGGTTGAGCAGATTCCCAATACATTTCATTTGAAATCAGCTGACTTTTCTTACGGTCACAGTATTAAAGCGTCAACTTCACTTGGACGTATTGACTAAGTGATCCCGGATCTGCAATTTGGACCGAGTTCTGGGTCGGCGAATGTCTATACAGGCAGACCGAAGATTGAGAATGATCTAGGGGCGGCAGTCGGAGGTATTTGCCATAAGGAGGGCGGCGGAGCTACTAAACAACAGTACCGCAAATAAGTAGGTGAATCTTTATATCGTCAGTCACGCTGCGACAAAGGTGCTACCCTAGCATAGCATCAGCTCTGGATTTGCTACATACCAATAGTGACGTACATCTGTACTAGATTCCGGGGCAAATCGGCGTCGCGGGAAACGAGGAGCCCGACAAACTTGCCAAGGAGGACGCTTTTTCGGAAGCCATGCTGATAGAGGAGGTGCCGATTTCCCTCCAAGCGAATAAACGGGAACTCGACCTCTGACTAATGAAAATACCTGTAGAAGATGCAGAATGAAAGGGGAGAGAGTGGAGCATATACTCTGCGAATGTCCTGCCCTTAGCAGACTGCGGGTTAGTTTTCTGGGAGCAGGGTTTCTACCTAATCTGACAGCCGCCACCAAGGTAGGGTATGGCAAGGTGTTCCGGTTTCCCAAGAGGACTTCGATGTTCTTCAACATTGCTCCTGGCACGCAGTGATTAGCTGTCCAAAATCGTCGTAGTTTATCTGGTAATGCTATGGAGGTGGAAATTGCTGTGGGAAGAGGTCTGGGCAGTCGGGTATTTTGAATGATCAAGAATAGCAAGCCACTATTACATTTTCTGAAGAGAGTCTACAATATTTACTTCCCCGGACCTGAATGCTAGCTTTGTTCCAACACTGAGCACAGGCTCACATATTGTCGACAGGAGCTGGAGTTCATATTGAAGATAATGAAGATATGAATCACTTCTCATTTGGAGAACATGCTTCGGTTTTCCAAGCCAAGATATTTGGTAACCTCAAGCCCATGATACACGTGATACAGAACGATGGAGGGATAAGAGCTAAGCTGCACGCAAGGCATGGGTCAGCACTCTATCTATTTCTAAACAAGTTCGACAGTGAAAGTTTCTGTTAGATTGTGTTGGTAAACACTACGACATTCTTTTAATCAGTTTTTAGTACAATACTTCCACCTTCGGCCATATATGTCACCTTCAGAAAATGCGTGAATAGATATCAAATTCATTCAGAAATTACTGGGAACCAACTCAAGCGTTTAACGCTTTGCTTAGGCTCGTATCCGTAGATATGGAGGGTAAGGCTATCGCAGTCTGCTTCATCATCAAGTTAGGAAGCACTCAGTAATCCTTTAATCCAGCAATCGAAACTCCTGGAAAACTTTTAACTATCGAAGAAACGGCCAATGCCTACCGAGGTTAGCTTCGACTAGGAGACCTTTGAAAATGTTCTTCAATGGGATCATTCTCCTAAGGGATGAATGGGAGTATTGCAGCCTGTGGAACAGACGTCCAGTGGTTCGAAGTTGGTTCCTTGCCTTAGACTAGGTGTGATCTGTCAGAAACTCGCTATTAAACTCAGGTTAAGGATATCGGATTTCCGCAGCATATTTCAAGCAGGGGTGGTCGCTATAGAGGAGGAACTCGACCGGCTACGTATCGTTTCAATAGTGATTAGAATGGTAAATATCTATCAAAACTTTACGCGGAATGCCTAACCTCTCTCTGAGCCGCATCAGTTTACTTAAAAATCAGGCTGATATGGGTTTCGGGGTACAGTGGCATTGCAGGAAACTGCATGGCTAATGACAGGGCACTCTCGAAATCATCCCTACTGAGAATGAGAGTTTGGGATTTCTTGTGGCAACCTGCTCTTGGATATGTGGGCAAATCTCCGGAACCGTTTGTGTCACTATAATTATTTAAGTTCTTTTCCATTTTGCAAACACAAATATTGTATGGATATGCTTTGCATGAAAGGCTCCATACGGTCTATATTTCAGAAGATTTTACTTGTCTTGTAAAATTTTCCGATTGGCAAATTAGACCTCTTGTTAAGAAGGGAAAACATTTAATCAGCAGATCCTTCTCCTCAATATTTTTTGCACAGTCAAAAACTACTTTCGTTTTCGAACAGCATTTCCGTTAAATCCGAAGCGTTTATTTACACAACCCCTTAAAGCTCGATTATGGCAACTTAACTTAACTTAAAGGAACTTAGAAAATCAAAATGAAACAGCGTTCGACGTGGCATTAAGTTGCGTTAAGTTTCGGCTGTTCAATTACAATCAACACCCATTTAAGAGAATATTTAAGTGAGAGCCTGTAAGTTACGTTAAGTGGCCATAACCAGACCATAACGAGCTAAGCTGATATAACTGTACGCGATTGTGCTCGTCTCCGTGCGCTGGTAACTTTGTGGCTGTTTTCCGATAAAAACAAAAATGAAAATTTGTTCAGCTAGCAGTGATGAACTTAAGTGAGCAGAGAAATTGTGAATCGAAAACAGCCTAAAAATTTCTTATTCACTGGAAAACATTTTTTCATTACCACTTAGCCAACGCAAGCAACACAGCAATTATTATGGCACAACTCTTCTTTCATTAGAAAGGACATTTTTAGTGTGCCCAACATTGCCTTACCACAATTGAAAACGCCTACTTATGACCTTTCGCTGAACAAACATATCACTTTCGATGGCTCATTAAGCATTTAAATGATGCTTTTATTTCCAAAAATACAATCTTTCAGCCACTCCTCAACGCTTTTTAAAGTAAATTTACGATCCCCATTTTTTTTTTTTAGTTGATGCGTGGACTATCAGGTTGCATGCGCACAGTCCGTTAGCTGCTATGCAATCAGAAAAATTCTATCCTAAAATATAGCGTAGCAATTCGATATCATAATTGCCAATCGCACAGTTGAGTATCCAATTAAATTAAGTTTCGAAATCAAATAAATTGGCAAACAACATATGCCTTACAATTCACTGCCCTTCTCGGCCCTCCGTGTGTG